ACTGCTCTATACCAACAGGATGAAAAAGTGGGAAATCAATATATTGCTTTTTCTTTAGCTTGAAATTGAAGTTCCAGGAAGTAAAAAATAACTACAAAAATACTGAGAGATTAATTCATTTCTTTCTTACCCTGCCATTGCTCATAACAGCCATTTGCCCAGGAAGCAGCTTAAGAACCTCCTGGCAGAACATCTGATGGGTTTTAATTATATCCAGTCCTAAAGTATTGTACTTCTTCTCAAATGTATCATCATCCATTCCCTAAAGCAAGGGTAAAGTATGAGATGACGGAAGGATTCGGCAAAATTGTATAACAGCTGAGGTAAGCAAAGATTTTCTCCAAGTTATGTAGCAACCAGAAATCAGAATAAAGCAACAACCTTAGCTTCAATGTAAGTACACAACTATTGGTGTGGAGAAACAGTCTCCCAACTAGGTAGTGAGCATTTTTTACTCTTGGGCAACTGTGAATAACCATAAGACGAAAGCTGAGCCTGAGGTTTTCTAAGATCCAGCACATAGCTGCATGAAAAACTGAACTGAACTGTACTCCCACTTTTAGCAAATAGGTATGGAAAAACCATACTCAAAATTACTCTAACAGTCATTTTAATGTGGTCATTGGATATAGCTTAAGCATGTTTTGGGGAAGCCAACATCATCCAGTAAGGCACCTAACAAATCAATGTTCCAAGCAGGAAAAAAGTGCTGGAACTTTGCCATGCACACAAAGGCACTGTGCCTCACCTGTCAAAATTTTCCTGCTATATTAAACTCTATTGATACGTATTTCTTTAATTAGAAATATACAGACTGAGCAAATAGATTCATTCAGATACAATTAATATAACAAAATAAATTAGTAACATGTATACACTGCTTAATTAGCTACCTCTACGTCTTTCAAAATTTATTAGACAATCAAATAAGAGTAAGATCCAAACCCACTAATTAATTTTTCAATAAGTTCTCTTAGTCTTCCAAATCTTCCTATTTAAAAATACTACCATTTACAGCTCTTTCTGAAACAAAAACTGCAGTTTGCAGCTGCTATTTGGTAACTCAGCTCTACTGTTACGTGTGAACTTTGAAGTCAGCAACATTTGTATTTTAAATCAATGAATTTTCACAGAAACACACCAGAAGATTTGGCCAGAAGTACACAATGCTCATTAACCTCAACTGCCTCAGTCAGTGCCTATAACTGCTCACAACCACAACAGCAAGCTAAAACCAGTTACCACTGAAGTCTTAATTCTTCACAAATATTAATACTGTAATTCTAATTGAGAGAGCTTTAAAAACCCCACAAAACCCCAAACCAATTAAAACTTAAACTATTTTGCTCTCAATAAACCAATATCCGTGCTCTATATTTTTTGGAACTCTCATATCTTCTTCCTTTACTTTAGTGAAATTCTCTGTTCTTCATCACATAAAAGTTGTCAAAAATTCAAATCTCCTTGAGCAGAAACTGTATAAGGTTTACAAACTTCAAAGCATTTGGCCAAACACTATTATTATCAAAAACACCTACTTGCAATAAAGATATGTAAAATGAAAAAGAAAGTAAGCCTAATTTAGTTTGCACTCACCGGGATGAGGAATTTAACAATTTTAGTTCCAGCAGCAAGGGATTTTGCTGTCTCTTCCTTAGTGAGTTTACTTAGGAAACTTTTCAAGTTGCTGTTGCTGTGGGTTAGAAAAGCAGTTAAAATTCCTCTTGCAATGGCTGTGTTATCTTCCTTTATTTTTGATGAAGGATTGTTCAAAATTCCAACTCGTGTATGACTGCTTGTTTTCTGCAAAGAAAAATACAGAAAAATACAGAATAATTGTTCCATCAGTTGTTACCTAATGTATTAACATCTATTATAACTTTGTGAAATGTTCTTAAGGGTTTTTTTGCAGCTATTTTTCTTTAGCAAATATACATGAACGCCTAATTCAGAACTTCAGCTAGGAGTAAAAATCGTATTAGTAACTATTGACCTGTTCTGTAACACATATTTTAAATAGATTTTTTTGTTTTGGACAGAACAATTGCCTTTGAGCATTCTGCAGAAGATTTTTTTTTTAACAAAGAACATACACAAGTGTTCATTTATAGACTTTGGAACCTGTTATGTAGATTTTTTTATATATATTTTTCAGAAAATATCAAATTGATGATAGAACAAATATAAGAAAAGTTATCCATGTACCACTTTACTCTTAATCAGCAG